TTTGTTTCCTTTTCTTATTTTCCTATGGGTTATATGAATGTTTCTTAGAATTCCATTTTGACCTAACAATTGTGATTTTGAGTGTATCGCTTCGCACATTTTTTGTACTTGTGCTAGGCATTACATTACATAATTTATAATATTATCTCATCATTTTATCAGTTTAAGTATAGAATTCTTACCTCCCTTGAAGTTCCTTTACTTTCATCCATTAATAATATAATTCTTAAATATTTCCTGTATGTACATTTTGAACTACATTAGACAGTGTTGTGTTTTTTTTTCTTTACCCGTTTACTTGCTTTCTCAAGAGGAAAAGGAAATCCTATTGCATTTACTCCTATTTTTTTCTTTCCTTGTTCTTTTCTGTCTTTTTGACATTCTAAGGTCCTTTTTTTTAAAAAAAAAATATATTTTTTCTATCTAAAGAACTCCCTTTAACCATTTATTTAACTGTAGGTATGCTGGCAACAAATTTTCTTAGCATATTCTGACAAAAATCAGATTTCCTTTTCATTTCTAAAGGGTATTTTCACCGGGTGAAGGACTCTGGGTTCAGTTCTTTTCTTTTAGCTCTGAAAAAACACCATGCCACTTCTAAACTGATAAAATGATGAGATCATGTTATAAATTATGTTTTCTGGGTGAATAATCCTTTGTCATTTGAATTATTTGCCTCTGAAGGTAAGCTGTTTTGTTTCTCTGGGTGCTTTCATGATGGTTTCTTAAATTTACTTGTGATAGCACCTTTATGTGGGTTTCTTTGAGTTTATCTTCTTTGAAGTTCTTTTGAATTTATAAAAGGCAGACTCCATTTGGGGAATTTTCAGGCACTCTTCCAAGTACTCTTTCAGTCCCATCCTTTTTCCCCTCTACTTCTAGGACTGCAATGGCATGAGTGATGGTGAGATCTTAATGTCCTCCCACAAGGCCCGTGTGAAAGACTTGGTCACCAGCCAATGACATTATTGGAAGGTGGTGGGACCTAGTGGGAAGAGTGAGGTCCCTGGAAGCGTACCCTTTGAGGTGATGTTGTGACCCCAGCTTCTTCCCCTCTTTGTTTCCTGGCTGCCCTAAGGTGGGTAGACCTCCTCTGCTGCACACCCACATGATGCTCTTGCTCACCACAGGCTCAAGGCAATAGAAACAAGCGACTATGGATCCAAACCTCTAAAACTTTGAGCAAAAATAAAACTTTTCTCTTTATAAGTTGGTTTATCTCAGATATTCATTACAGTGACAGAAAGCTGAGTAATGCAACATGGGTGAGCAGTTGCTGAGACTCTTACTATTTTTCAGTCTACTTTCTCTCTGTTGTTCAGATTGGGAAATCTGTATTGCTTTATTTTCTAGTTCATTGATTCCTTCTACTGTCCCTTTCATTCTGCTGTTAAGACCAACTACTGAGTTCTTTCTTTATTTTGACTATTGTATTTTTCAGTTATAAAATTCCTATATAATTCTTATTTATATGATCTCAGCTACGCTTAAATTTTTGGTAAGTTTTAAAATTTTCACTTGTTTTGAGCATGTTTATAATTGCTCACTAAACTATTTTGCCATGGCTATTTAAAAATCTTCATCAGGTGTTTTGGTTAGATTTTAATTGCTGTTACCAAAACAGCCAACAACAACAACTTAGATGAGAAAAAGTTTATTCAAGGCTCACTGTGTCAGAGGTCTCAGTCCATAAAAGGCAGACTCCATTGCTCTGGACTTCAGATGAAGCAGAATACCATGGGAGAAGGGCCCAGCAGAGGACAGCTGCTCAGCTTACAGAAAGATGCAGAGAGGAGAGGAAGAGGAAGAGGCTGCAGGGAGAACAACCTAGGGCACACCCCCATGATGACCCACCTGCTCCAGTTACGCCCATCTGCCTTCAGGTACCAATCACTCGATCCATTCAAATTAGGATGGACAGATTAGGTCACAGCTCTAATAAGCTAATAATACCTCTGAATATATCTGCATTAGCAGGAGTTTGGGGCATCACTCATATCCAAACATTATCGGGTAATTCTAAGATCTCTGTCATCTCAGGGTTGGCATCTGCATTCATTTCCCAGGGGTTCTATACAATGTACCACAAACTGGGTGGCATAAAACAATAGAAATTGATTGTCTTACAGTTCTATAGGCCAAAGGTCTGAAACCAAAGCATTGTCAAGGCTGCATGCCCTCTGAATCCTTCCTTGCCATTCATAGCTTTCTGTGGTTTGCTGACAATCTTTGGTATTTCTTGCCTTGCAACTGCAGCTTGCCTTTGTTACAAGACAGTGCTCTCCCTGTCTGTATCTCTCCTCTCTCTAGTCATGTTGAATAAACTAGTATGACCTCACCTTAGTTAATCATACTCCAATAACCCTATTTCCAAACAAGGTCACATTCTGAGATACCAGGGGAAAGGACTTCAACATATCTTTTGGGAGGATGCAACTCAACCTATAATAGCATCCATATAATTTTTTTTTGGTATGGACTGAATCCAAGAGCACTTAGCCACTGAGCCACATCCCCAGTCACCCCTGCTCTTTTAA